CTGGCCTGGCAGCCTGATCCAGATAGAAACTATGAGGGACTTCTTGGCAGGAAACATGGTGGTTCATCTGGGGACACAACTTTTGTAAACATCCCTCATCTAGAATTTCCCTAAAACCTTCTGAGCTTGGAGAGATGCCCAGCTTGTGCCAAATCCTATATAGCAAGTTCCAGATGTTTTCTCTCTGCTGTGCCAGGTGGGATTCCCCACACTTTACTCTTAAATCATCTCTTCAAAGCCCAGATCCTGGGGTGGGGAAGTTCTAGGGTCAGATACGTGAATGAGAGACTGCAATGCCTTTTCCATACATGCTTGAGTGTTCAGCTTTGGTCATATCCACTCATTGCCTGCCCAGACGTGGCCAAGTTCAACCAGGAAAAGGGAAGCTCTCCTCCCTTTATGACATCACTGGTGAATGATCACAGGTTGACTGGGTGATAGGAATCATTCGTTTTTGTGAGGATTTGAGTCCAAGTCCTCAACCAAGAGATACAGAAGTAGGAGAAGGATGGAACCTTGAGCTCTCATTGTCAGGTCATATTTATCAGAAGCTGAGTTTGAGATGGATGTTTAGAGCTAGTGACTTACTGAGCGTGTGCTCCCAGTGGAAACTTGTGAGGGGTACAGAGAGAAATGCGAAGTCGTCAGGAATATTGTTGGTTGTAGCTGAAGATTGCCTTCAGCTTGAGCACATGAGAGGTTTTGGAGGGTGCACAGTCCCAGAGGTGCTCTGGGTTGAGATGATGGAGTCAAGGTATAATACCTTCATATCAGTCAGTCAGACTGTACACAGCGCGTTGGAAGGAATACACAACCTCCCAGTGACTCTGGAACACCAAAGGCAGCTTCTGAGGATAGTCTCAGGGAGGATACATCTGGGAGTCTTTAGTAGCCCTTGCTCAGCACTGGACTATGGGTACCCAAGCCCATTACAGGGCATCTTCACCAAGCATTAGGACAACAATGATGCAGCTGTAATGGGAAACATGGTTTAGGTGTATGGCCATAATGGGCTTCAGAGACCACACAGGGTTGGTGGATAAAGGTAGAGCAGATCCTTCCTCATGTAGGACCAGGGCCTTGGCTCACCCTACAGTAGGCAGAAGTACCTTTAGATAGTGATAGAGAAGACTGATAGAGAAGGCCAGTTGGGGACTGAGGTTGCTATTCCATCAAAGATGTGAATTATGCAGGTTGCCCTGGAAGGGCCAGAAGGCAGCAGATCCTACTGAGGTGTTTAGATAAGAAAAAGGTTGTTCCTTTGGATCTGATGGCAGAGTAAGGTGTGGAGAAGGACAATGACCTGAAGAAAGATCTGTGTACAGTGCTCTAGGGAGTGGTGGGAGGAAGGGGCAGCTTAGGGAAGATGTCTGGAGTAATGTCTATGTCCACCCTGCTTCCTGGTCACTTGAAGCATAGGGAGATACAGCAGCTCTTGCAGTACAGGGAGAAAAAACAGTGCGCAGGCCCCACCACTTAGCACCTCTTACCTCTGGAGTCTACAATGTCATGCCAGGCCCTGGGGATGTCACAAAGTCATCAAGGACTCTCTCTGGAGTAGGGGTTGCAAACGATATGCCTATGAGGGTGAGAAAAAACTCTTACAATCAAGAGATCTTTTATAAAACCTCAGCTTTTAGGTTTTATTGTTGCCGATGTCCCCTAGGTAGCCTCAACTTCCCACATGGCCAGAGAGAGGTATGTGGTAGCTGCACCTCCCAGGGCTTTTGCTCTCTTCTTGTCAGAGCTCAGGTTCATGGCTCCTAAGAGTGTCTGAGTGTGATCTCAGAATATATGCAAGGACATTCAAGACTGGCAGATGGACACACACTGACATTTGTAAGCACATCGAGTAAAATAAAAGAAGAGGAACCCAAAGTGTCAGGGTCCTGGGGTCAAAGACAGAGGAAGGCTGCCCTGAGTGGGGAAAGAGCAGCCAACTTTGGCCTCAGAATGAATGATCCAAGGTGGTGACATGCACCTATTTTCTTATCTCATCTCATCCTCATTATTCCCACACAAAAGCATTTCAACACTGGAGGAGAGTCTTATCAAGGGAGTTTGGAGCAATGGACCAGCTATTTGGAGATTAAGTTGGATCTCAAATTCACTTCTATTAGAAACCACTAGAAACAAAGGAGTGAGGGGGCAGAGTGGGTTTCCAGTTCAAGCCTGGACACTTTTCTGAGTATGTCAGGCACCCATGTGCCCATAATCAGGGACTGGTTAAAAATTTGGGCTGGATCATTGCCTCAAGATCCTATTGGAAGTGCTCTCTCCCTCTCTCTCATTTTCTCTCCTTCTGCCTTGCTCACAGAAAAAAATAAATAAGCTTTAAAAAGTAAGAAATAGGGTCAGCTAATGTGTAAGATTGTAGTAGAGTCTCTAGGTTTTCTAAGAAATTTTACATCAAGGAGAAATTTGAAGTTTACGTGAAAATGGAACTAAATTATGCAAAGAGAACATTAAGAACATTGCCACATACCTTATATATAAAAGGTTAATCATCTTAATTTGCAAAGAAGGAAATAAAAAAAGATGTAAAAGCCAAAAACATATCTGGTAGAAAATGAATCAGTAAACACAAAAAGCAAATCACAAAATAAATGTATGAACTGTCAATACATACCAAGACGTGTTCTACCTCATTAGTAATCGAAAGTGCTAAATAAAAATAAAAGTGACTCATCTCTTTCCACTAATCATATTGGAAACGATGAAAAGTTTGACAAAATCCAAAAATAGCAGAGATGTGGGAAAATTGACGTTCTCGTACACTGTTGTTGGGAATGTTAATTTGTATTTCTTTCTAGAGGGCAGTTTGTCAACTGAAATTAACTTTTTTTCTTCTTCTTTTTAATTTTTTTTAGAGAAGCATGTTTTTAGTTCAGCAATCATACTTTCAGAAATTTATTCTAGGGACCAGCTGTTGGCATAATGGTTACATTGCTGGACTCCCACATAGTCAACCATGATTTGAGTCTTGGACCTGGTGGCTTAAAACTCATACTAGTAACATGTGCCTGTGTGCCCAAGATCCCGAGAGGAGAATAGAGGAGAAGGGATTGTGCATAAATATCCTCCTGGGGGATGATTTCTCGCTTTCTATCTCTCTGTCTCTCTGGCTAGCACATGCACCCTATTCTCTGGCTGTCACATGCCCCCTCAAGTTTTTTTTTTTTTTTTTTTTTTTTTTTTTTTTTTAGAAACGAATTTATTCTAAGGTGATAAGTGCTATAGCATAGAGTCACGATAGCATTCAGTGAAGATTTCAATAGTGAAAATTTGGAAACAACCTATGTATCTGTAAATAAGTGATTTTTTTAATAATCTATACTATACACACACACTACACACACACACACACACACACACACACACACAAAAGGTCCCCACATTTGAAATAGTGCATAATGCTATGCAGAGTTCTATTTGTTGGAAAGATATCTTTGAAAAGGTATGTTTCACATCTTCTCTTTTTGCACACACTACTCCTACTCCTTGGGCTGTCATTCTCCCAACCTTCCTACCTGGTTCACTCCAGATCATTCCCAAACCAACTCAGATTGAAACTCTTCTGTGAAGTAGGTTGTCCCTGCCCTTCTGAGTCATGTAAGTGGCTACTATCTCTATACACTGCAGACATTCCTTTATTATTTTCACAATACCACTGTTCAATGATTTTTTTTCACCAAGTATTGACTATGTACAAGACCCTCTTTGAGGCTCTTATCCCTTTCTAAAGTAAATTGACTCTTACATGACCATCTGGGTTGCAAGGCCCTGTACCCAGTTCATTCTATTACCCTAGATTCCAACCTGGGCCCTTGGAAAGAAGCAATACAAGTTATTGAATAAAAGAAGGAATTGGTAGGGACAGAAAAAAATGAATAGATGAATGGAGAGATTGGTGGATGGATGGATGGATAGATAAAAACGAGTGATTAAATGAGTGGTAGTGTAGATATATGGTGAATAGGGAAGGATTGGATAACAGAGTAGATGGACTCAGTGCATAGGTTAATAGCTGGAAGAGTGGATGAGTGGGTGAGTGAATGAAGGGGTACAGTATTCTTCAGTCTCTCCTTTTTCTTTCTGGTCTCAGGAAGAACACTCCTTATCATCAAATGTCATTTGCATATAGCTATGTGTGCCATCTACAAAGTGTTCAATGTTATCAACGTTATTAGAGATCATTGGCTCTACTACACCAAAATAGAACAAAACTATGATCTGTTAGGATTCAATCTGGGAACAGAAAACAAAGAGTTTGTTTCATGAACCCTTGAAATATTGAGAAGCCAAGAGAGAACAGTGAAACAAGCCAGAGATTAGCAAGAATCACTGCCATGCCCAGAGTGAGTGAGAAATGGAGGACTGAGTTACCAGCTGCAGGCCCCCAGAAGGCAGAATCAGTCAGTGGCAGCTGATACTATGGTGGACTTGACCCATAGGAGGTAGTCACAGAGATGTAGTAAGTACTCTAGAGAAGGGGACATGCTCTCCCTCTTCTTTTCCTCTTCCCCTAATCCTTCCACCAGGATGCCTTCCTAGCCAAACTCATCAGGGAACCAGTCTAAAGGAGAACCTGGGAAACCAGGCTGTAGGCATTAGCAGAGCAAGAGGAGTGAGGAATGAATTGAAGAACAAATAGGCCACCAACCTGCATGCCCTATAAAATTGAAATCGATAAATATTTAAATGTGTCTACAATGTCAGATTCTTTGTCAGCCAAGCAACTGCAAATGAACTCTTACATATGTTATGAATAAATTATGTAGGGTGTGCGTACATTTTAATATGTCTGATGTGGTGGGGGAAGGGTGCCTCAGGACAATGAGGCCTTCAAGTGACCCTCCCCATCCTCACCCTCTGTTGAGCAAGTTTTAAGGCCCAGCCTCTTGTTCTCTAATGGAATAACTTTGGGCAAATTACTCACGTTTCTTCTGTTGAAAAAACAAAACAAAACAAAAATCAATGTCAATTTTTCCTAGATCTTGTAAAGTTAAAATGAAATAACATTTGCAGAAGAGCTCTGGAACCCATCCGACAGGATGAAAGCCATCATTATTTCTAAGGGGCACTGGATCTGCCAGAGGAGGTAGGCACAGGTGGTCTTTACACAGAGCACTTTGTCATTATAGATCAAAAGCCGTAAGATGTGCATCTTCCCGGAACTAAAACTCCCATATCCATCAACTCATGATGAGGAGATAATGGTGGAAGTGGGCAATGATTTAATGACAAGGACACTCATGTAGGGTGTTGATATTAGGGCATATTTTATAGTCTTAAATGCTGAGCAGGAAGGAATAAGTTAAATTAGGCTTCATCTACACAATGGAAGGCGAAATATATATGTGTTTATGTATATGAATATGCACTGAGTTTTTTTCCATTATAGTCTCTGAAATAAATTTTTTTCTTTTTTTTTAAATTTTATCAGGGACAGGTATCTCGACACGTGTTGAGGGCTCAGGAAAGGACAACGCTGATGGAGAGTTGACAAGATTGCAGGGGCTAAAGGCAAATAATGACTGAAGCCCTTCTTGTAGGGTGTTGATATTAGGGCATATTTTATAGTCTTAAATGCTGAGCAGGAAGGAATAAGTTAATTAAGGTTTCATTTACCCAATGAAGGCGAAATATAATATGTTTTTATTTTATGAATATGCACTGAGTTTTTTTCCATTATAGTCTCTGAAATAAATTTTTTTCTTTTTTTTTAAATTTTATCAGGGACAGTATCTCTGACACGTGTGATGGCTCAGGAAAGGACAACGCTGATGGAGAGTTGACAAGATTGCAGGGGCTAAAGGCAAATAATGACTGAAGCCCTTCTTGGTGCCATCTCTCTGGTGATGAACGAGGCACTCATGGTCTTTGGCTGGTTGGAGTTCACAGTCTGACTGGGAAGGTAGGTTTTCTAAGCATACCTCCAGAGTCTCTCCATACTCTGCCGCGTGTGTGGCCACTATCAGGAGTCACAGGTACAATGGTCCTGACTGCAAATCACAGAAAACTTCCCTGATCCACAAGGATGTTAAACCTTTAGCATAAGAACCATTCATAGGAAGTTATGTGGAGCCATAGATAACACACATATTTGTCACATCTTGCATTTTCTATTAGGTTGTCTGGAGAGTCATGACGAATTTTTCTGTGTTTTTCGATGCAAACGGTGTCATAATTTTCCCAATGACCAGATATTTGCTTTAATATTGTTTTTTAGGAAAACTGGAGACTGCTTTAGCATATTCCTGGGAATCAGTATCTGTTAAGAAAATAACAAAGCAGGTGGTAAGTAAGTCAGGAAGCCCCACTCAAGTGGCTTTCTGCAGGCTCGGTGTGCAGGCTTGGAGGAGTCCTGAAATCCTTCTCCTCTCTGGGTCTCAGCACCTTTTCTATGAAAGGTAGAATGGGTAGCTGGCCCTGCAGACCCTGCCATTTATCTAAGGTAAAATGACCTCTTGTGACCCTATTTCTGGTTCTTTTTTTTTATTATTTCAATTTATTTATTTGCATTCATTCACTGTACATCATTACAGCATACAAAATGAGATTTTCCATCCAGAGTACACTGTATATTGTCTCAATCAAGCACATCAACAAACATGTTCTTGTCAGCAAATGATCTTCCATTTCTTGTTTTCTGTATGTTTTGCTTTTTTCCCCC